ATTTGATTTCCAGTTCCTGAGTTTAAAAGGTGCGATCTCTATGCAAGCTTATTGTTAGAAATTCACCTATATTTCGTGGAAGAACAATATATTAATGTTGTACATGTACAAAGATTTACCACATGTGGCTTATATTTTCCGGATTATTGATCAGGTCAAAGGATTATAGCCGTTAAATTCCAAATGGCTGAATTTGCAAGTTATTTTGACGAAACTTGCATAGCATTTTATAATGCATGTCAAACACGATACAGATTCTGTATATCTGGATGAATGAAATATGGAAATCACGAACAGTATTCAAGCTCAAACGTCCATTCAAATAATACATATCAGAGGCAGAGCAAACGCGGACCTTTAAAGCAATATGAGCTGCAACTTTGATGTCGGAAATTTTTGTTGCAAAATTGTAATTAACTAAATCAGTGAGAGAGAGAAATAACATTTATAATCTTCTGTTGTCCATATTTGCGATGGAAGAACTATTTATAAGCTATTACATTATTGTCGTCCTGTACAATATTGTTTTCTTATACAATACTATATATTCGATTGTACAGAAGTCTTTCTTCTGAAACAGTTTCATACATTATTTAAGTTTATTATACCTCTACTGATTTTTTCCCTGTATAACATTAGATCGTTAGTATACAGTTAAAGTATATCATTTAGGGAGTTAGCAAGATTCCAGTTCTCCTTAAGGCCAGGACTATTTCCCGAGGCGAAGCCGAGGGAAATAGTCCTGGTCGATGGGAACTGGAATCTTGCTAACTCCTGCAATGATATACTTTTAACTGTTTTATTATACCAATACAAACGTAAAATTTAGAGGATTCAGATAGCGTGATTTCAAGCAGGGATTAGCTCACTGAACTAACACACTGGGATTAGTCCATTCACATATCATACCATTGTAAAAGTAAAATCTCGAGGACTACGGATAACCGGGAATTAGCTTTTTGATGCAGGGATTAATAGCTCACTTGACTAACGCAGGGGGATTAGTCCATTCAGAACGATTTCTAGGGAATTAGTCACATCTAACGATCTAATGTTATATAGGGAAATTATCAGTAGAGGTATAATAAATGTGACTAATTCCCTAGAAATCGTTAAGAATGGACTAACCCCCGTGTGTTAGTCAAGTGAGCTTACCCTGCTTCGAAAGATAATTCCCGGTTATCCGTAATCCTCTAGATTTTACTTTTACATAGGTATGATATGTGAATGGACTAATCCCCGTGTGTTAGTTCAGTGAGCTAATCCCTGCTTTGAAATCACGCTATCTGAATCCTCCAAATTTTACGTTTGTATCGGTATAATAAAACAGTTAAAAGTATATCATTGCGGGAGTTAGCAAGATTCCAGTTCCCCTCGACCAGGACTATTTCCCTCGGCTTCGCCTCGGGAAATAGTCCTGGCCTTGGGGAACTGGAATCTTGCTTACTCCCTCAATGATATACTTTAACTGTATAATAATTGATCATAAAGGTTTAAATTACATATATGTACAAATTTATCATAATAGCACATTTTAACAGCAAAATAAAATTCTCAAAAATGCAGCTCATATTGCTTTAAACATTAGAGATGGGACCAGGTGCCAAGGAGGAGTGAGCATCCCCTGTCGACCGGTCACACCCGCCGCGTGCTCCTTGTCAAGACCAGGAAAAACTGGGGAAAAATCCGTAGACAATTCAGTGTGTAACTACTACTAATGAATAAGTAAGTACCGAACATGTATCCTCTGGGACAGACTGTCCACCAGCAGAGATACATGATACGTGGTTAAAATGAAATATGGTGACAATATACAGGCTAAAATTTCTGTGTTCGTTCATTTTCCAAATTTCTATATATTGACAAGCATTGCTAGGGTTACACCACAAAGGACACGATGTCGTATATAAACCGGCCATGCTTTGAATTCTTCACTCTTTTGCAGCATGCCAGCCCCTGGATTATTGTATGTAGTATACATACCAAGTGCTCCAGTAGATTCTTCATCTTGCATAAATTCTGTAACTAAGGATGCATACTCTAAGGAATGCTTTGGATGTCCACTTGAAGTTTTATTTTCCCTTTTGATAATTAGGTTAACAAGGAAATTTAAAGAATTGTAGTCTCACGCGATTTCTGTGTCTTAGTAGTTGGGATGCAATATTGTTTATGGCATATTGTAATTGTCCTGCATGTTTGTGTGCCCTTGTCTTGTCTGTCTATCTTACAAAAAAGATATAAATTTTTGAATAGATAAAAGATACGGCAAAGATTAAAGCATCTCAAAACTGCATCAAACTTCAAGATCAAGGTCTCGAGGTCAAATATAATACAATTCAAAGGTCTTGTCACGAGTAATGAACAAGTGGAAAAAATTAAGAAAGCTTTCTTCTAGAGCAAAAGTTAAGCAAAGTTACTTTTTTATAAGAAGTCGAACTTCTAGGTCAAAAGATATTTCTTTCTGAAAGTGTTGAAGTCACAAATGATAGTTCTTTCTGAAAGTGTTGCCATAGCTAATTTACATGTAAACTATGAAAGCCTTATCTTCTCTCATTCAAAAGTTATTACATGTACCAATGTAAAAAAAAAATTGAATAAGACTGTAGGTTAAACTTCAAGGTTAATGTCTAGAGGTCAAAAACTAGAGTTTATTTGGAGAATATTTGAAATAGGTAATGCATATGCCAAATAAAAAAGATAATCTTCTCTCATTCAAAAGTTATCAGCAATTTTGTGTGTGTGTGTGTAAATTAGGCTAAACTTCAAGGTCAAAGTCACAGGATCAAAAATCATAGTACATTTGAAAAGGTCTTATAACAGGTAATGCGTGTGTCAGATATAAAGGCCCTATCTTTTCTCATTCAAAGTTATCCCCAATGTTAAAATTTTTGAAAATTAGGTCAAACTTCAAGGTCATGAAGTTAAAAATCATAGCACATTTGGAAACGTCACAGTTAATGCACATGTCAAATATAATATCTTCTCTCATTCAAAGAAATAACCAATGTTATAATTTCTGAAAAGTAGGTCAAACTTCAAGGTGAAGGTCACAGGAACAAAATTCATACCTATATTTGGAAAAGTCTTGTCTCAGATAATACACGTTTACGCAGGACCGGAAGCGAACTATTCACTCTTAGTCTTGTCGTGCATGCAAGGTTCGATCGTTACTTCAAGATTTATATCCACTTGGAAATTAACCTAGTTTCATGTTCTAAATTTTGAATTTACCGGGTGGGAGTAAATACAAAATAAATTTTGTATTTACTCCCACCCGGTAAATTCAAAATTTAGAACATGACACTAGCTTTAATCAGTCATTTACTTGACAAATATTGGATCAAATGAAACATCCAAAACAGGTTCAAAAGAATGCTTTTTTACTTGCAACATACATGCATCTTTGTTCAGCAATAGATAATTTCTGCAGAATGGAAGTACTCTTAAAACTTTAATCGATTCATATAGAGAAGATTACGCGCACCTTTCTAAACTTGACGATAGTATGAAAGATGCAAAATATATGCATGTTGGACAAGACATAAGACTTCCAGTTAATTGGGAACTGACCGCGCTCTAGATAAAGCTTTTCTAAATTCGTCCATATAGGTCCCAATGCAGCACCCAAAGCAGGTATGCATCCCTTCGTGGATGCAACATGCATGTAAAATGGGTAGTAAGACTTCTTGTTACTTGGGAATGGATCTGCTTCTAAACAATTTTCCCAGTGACTCATTCATAATATATTCTGTATGCACAATCCGAATTATAATGGCTACATTGTGGTATACCTGCTTAAAGATATTTGATTTGATCACTCAGCTAGAAATTTAGGCCATTAACAAAACCTTATTGCACATCGCAACCTTAACATCAATAATAATTTACAAATTTAAAGAATACTTTTGCTGCCTTTAAAAAATGTAGGAGGAGAAGCGATACAGGAACGTATGACGCACTGACGGACGAGCAGGTTAACAATATGCCAGAACTTTCTTTAAAAATAGTTATAACCACACAAAACCTTCTACTATGCAACCAGTTACCTAAAACATTTAGTGATATCGACCAAAATTTAAAAAAAAACATTCAAATTCAATACATAAGGCTGCACAGTTCTTTAGTAGGTAGAACTAAAATCTCCGTCAATATCTACCAAAAGTTCTCTGGTGTTGCGCTGCGTGTTTAATGGATCAAATTTCGATCAATGCCGGTTCACTGTAACAAATTGCTGCAAATTCGTAACTGGTTCATAACCTACAAGTACCTTCTACATGTACCATACATTCACCTGTTTGTCATTCATTCTCATTTAATTAAAAAATTGGTTTCATTTATTTCTAAATTTTTAAGCTTCGCTATGGAACATTTTTTTCTAGAACCAGTTTCACTTAGGTTCGTAAGGTAGATAATGACCTTGACAAATATCTAGCGTATAGCTCTATCCCTACTTTAATATTACCTTTTTTAATCCCATTCAAATGAATAAAATGACTCATCTGAAAGAACTTGGATTTATATTTAAAGATAAGTGTCTTTTATTATTTTTTTCTCTCAAAAGAATATTCAAATTTCAAGTTTTGTATTACGAAGTCAATGGTGTCAGTCCAAATCCTTCAATCCCCCCAACCTTCAGGGGAATTTCCTATTTGAGTCACTCGAAAGTGACTTCAAAAACATTTTTGATAAAAGAAAAAAGCCTTGAAAAAAGAAAAGAATACGATGTGTTGCGGAATAAGATAAACATATTTTTGTCTATTGTAGTACTTGCAAAAACACGATTTCAAGGTGGTTTAGCTGGTGAATTTGCACCGGCATGATCAGCTGATTATATGACCTGTTTTCTGCATGACTGGCTCAGGGTGACACACCTCCAACAGTCCTACAATATTTTAATTTCGTGCTGATTTGCAAACGCACAGCGAACGTGTATTATTTCAAGGTCTTTAGTTTTTACCGGGGTGATTGAAATGCAGTTAACCAATGTAAATGACAGGTAGATTTTACCACCCCTAAATTAGCCCCTGTCGATGGGCCTCTCATAACCGGCATTGGGGTATAAAAAGGTTCGGCGGTCCAAGAACGTTCGATCGCACCGACACCAGCTGATCCGGAATCAAGAAGTTTGGGGCAAGGAGGCCAAAAGAAATTTAATTAATTCAAAATTGTAAGTCTTTTATTTCTTCCTTTAAAGCATAATTTTGATAAGTATGAATTTGTCATTTCTAATTCAAAGTTATGGTGATTAATTAAGTTTTGATGGATTAATACGCATTAGTCAAAACTACCTTGTTAGAATAAAAATGCACAATGTTGCGTTTCTAGTGTGAATTTCTACTTTATTAATTTTCTTCGTATCTAGTAAAATGATAACTAAACAATTATCGATTGATATAATTTTAACTATGGACGCAACGAAACTCTGGTTTTAAGATCTCAATATTACATAATTCTTTAACGAAATTTAGTACCGGTCCATTCCTTTTAAAGGCTTGCTATACAGAGAAATAATTTAAGTAAATATTGTATTCAGTGTGTTTAGAAAATACGTAACATTTTAAAAGAGAAATCTGTCATGTCAGCTGGTTTCAGTAATTGACCGCGGTTAACCACAGTCCTTTTGTCCTCCTGGCCCACCTTTAAGAAAATGAACCAATTCACCCACGAAGCTTCTTTTTTATATGCATATTTCATTATCATACATCTGAACCACGGAAGTCACTGATGATACCTTTCCTTCATTTCAGGTAAACAATGGACCTATCAAAAGTTATCATTTGCAGTATTCTGTGCATTTCTTTAATGGTGGTTCTGTCTGAATCAGCACCTTTAGACCATGCTTTGTCCAAGAGACATGCGCCCGTGGGATCACAAAAAGGTAATTATAACGACTGTACTTTTGTTTTAATATTTGTACTTATTCTCAAGATGTATTAGATTTGAGATACTTCTCTAAAACAGCTGGGATTTGCAAAAGTGGACATAAATATAACCCACTGTCTCTTTTCCTTTTGCAGAGGTTGTGAAATCTAGAAGAAGGCGTGGACTCGGTAGAAACGTTCGAATCCGTCAGATGTACGTTTGTCTCAGGCTTATACGGGATATTGCAGATCATCGAAACTTTGACGACAGTTTCCTGCCCTCCTATTGTAAACCTTTATATTGTGCTCAGTTGGCAAGGAATAGGGCAAATTCTTACCCTTCATTCTGCACACAGGGAAATATTGCAATTACCGTGATACAAAAGTAACTTATTTAGCTAGTTAGATATTTATAATAAATTCAAAAAGACAATGTAAAATCCAAAGAACAAGGCCTGCACTCCGTCGGTGACTTTCAGATTAACCGTCCACAATCCATGAATTTAATGACTTTGCAAGATGACGCAAAAGTTTGAGTTTGTATCATTTACGTTTATAACTGGACTTCACGCATGTCTCATTAATGAAAGGTGCAATATTTAGAGAAATGAAGAAATCATGGAGATATATATATATCTATCAACGGTGGACAAACGACACAGATGTCGTGCAATCTTAATCGTGAAATTTGTATCCGTAAATATTTGCCATGTCAACACCTTGAATTAAATTTATTGAATCTAATTTCATAACTGAAATATGCATGTTGCAAATGAATGAGATTTAATAATTTATATAAAATGGCATTGTTATGTTTCAATAAAAATATTAAGGAATCTTTTTTTTTCTTTCATTATCTTAAATGAAATAAAACTTTTTTAAAATTTTAAATCCAAGGTGCACTAAATTGAGCTGAGTGGTGCAAATTTCTTTTTATGAAATTCTAACTTGCATGCACTTTACAATATGGTTTGTACGTCACCGTGGAGAAAAAGAAGCTTAGAGAGACCACGTTTTGGGGTCAAGGTCGAGTTGTAGCAAATAGACCTGAAGAGCTCCAGTTAGAGACAAGCCGATTACTTTTTGATCCGTAATAAAACACGCCACCGGTACTGACCTCGTAAGTTTCAAAATTAATTGTCAAAATTTTAAGTCCCACTTCAAAAGCATTATCATTACTATGGTCAAATAAAAACTTTACTACTTAACTTAAGGTGGCATGTCTAAAGTCTTACAAATAATTCAGTCTTTTATAAAGCTCCAAGAGGCACGGGACAAAGGAATAGCTTTAAATATTAAAAAATTATCACTTCTTTGAGTATTTTAAAAAAAATAAAATGTACTCTCGAGTTGGAAGTCAGTTTAGGAATGTATAATGGATGTTTAATTTATTTTGTTAAAAACGTTTTAATAAATTCATGGACTACATTGGAGACAATTAACGTTGTAATCCATGTTGACCTATTACGCTGTTTTTGACATTGACCTTTCAAGATCATGATTTTGAATAGTAATTAGAAAACAACATAGTCACTGATGCAAACAAGGCATTGTCAGGTTGTACCCCTCTAGGTGAAAAAACACTTTGCTAGCTTTACAATGTCATTCAAACCTAACCATTGCTGTCGACGCAATCGGCAAGATGTATTTGCGATAAAACTGACAATCACTTAACGTAGCGGAGATCTTTCTTATTTTGTCAAATTAACCCGACAAACACTGAATACAATCTATATGTAATTAATTGACCGAGATATTTTTAAGAAAAAAATATCATGTTTTTGAGAATTGCTGCATTCATGCTGACGTGCGGGTATTCCAGTTTCCCTGTTCAGCCATGAATGGAGGGTGAAGAACCGATAAGACCAGTCATTTTATGTCTGTCTGGGAAAAGAAAAAAAAAACTTTTATCCTTGAATTCATTCCGCTTTTCTTATTCTTTTCTTGCAAGTTGCAAATTTATCGACCAAGGGTTAAAAGTCGTCCTCCGTTGTCGCAAAGAAATCATGGCTCGTTTGGTCAGCGACCTTTATGTTCTGAAATTGCATTTTTCATCACTAAATTATTCGTACGCGTAACAATTTGACTCTCCCAAATACCAATGGGAATGAAAAGAAATTAAAAAGCGAACGAATTGCTGACAAACAAGTGCGAATTAAGAATATATTACGCATTTAAATAACATATCGTGATTTTGTCAAAAAATCAACTAATAGGTACCAAGTATATTTTAATAAGGAGCGGTATTTTTAAATGTGTGTAGGGGAAGGGGACCATGATGAACATGCGTGTTGTTTAGATTTGAAGACAAGAGGCCAATCCGAACTAATAGCTGTGTCTTGAAATGACGTAAATTTAACATCCGTCCCAAGTTTTATGTTATTTTTTTTAATACATTATCAAAGACGCGCTTATAGTCAACGTTCTTGTTAAATGTATGACAACTTATACATGTATAATTTACCTACCGTTTACCAGTGCTTATATCCCCGTAAGACCCTGATACAGAAAGTTTTACATGGCTTCATACTTTCAAAAGAAAACAACTTTACATGTATGCAGAGTTTTGAACTATGACACAAACTATATGGGAAAAAACGCATGCACCATACTTATATCACTGAGATGATGCAATAGAGAGAAAACTTGGGGAACCCGTATTTAACAGCCACAATGGATATAAGAAAATCCCATTTTATGAACAATTGTGGCTACTTAAAGTACATACCAGGATAGTTGTGGTTTAAGTTTGTATAAATACCAGATCAGCAACTAGTCCTGGAAAGCTTTAAGTCTGGAGATTATGGGGGAATTTACATATAAGTGAAGGAGGTGGTCAGTCAAAATTATTTTCACAAACACGGCGTTGTCTCATATTCCAAAAGTTCTACTATAAAAAAAAATTCCTAATCGGGTAAAAAGTGACGTATCGCATCTCTGGCTCCCAATTCTAAAAATATTTCTATTCCGTTTAATGTCACTAAGGTCTAACCTTTACAAACCGAAGTCAAAGTGGGTGAAGAAAAGCCCTAGGGTCTCTATAAATGTGATATTGAATGTTAAGGGAATAAAAGATCTGTCATGAATGAAACAGATATGAAATATTCATGTACAAATGACTTCTTAATGAGTCCACATTATGTAAATTTCACGTGCTTTTTGACCTCACTTTTCTTTGAAATGAAAGAAAATAAATCGCTTTCACGTCAAGAACCTTGGAGTCAATAAAAAATTAGCAGACCGTTTCAAACCCGTAATTCTTATCGAAATCTTGGTAACACTCACTGTCATTTTGTATTACGTATAGTGCATTTTTCTTGAAAGATCATCGTTCTGGATAATCCTCCGTATGCTAGTGATATAATCGGTTCTTTAATTAGGTGTAGATTATTTTACAATATTAAAACACCCAAAACAAAATGAAAATTAATGCTATATATAATGAAAGGAAATTACTAAGATCGCTACTGTCAATAAAATTGTCCTTTAAAAAAGCAATACATAAAAAAAATGTGCAAAAATTTTTAAAGTTACACTCATAATTATTGATACACACCTCTTATTAAATTTTTTATTTTTTTTCATTTTTACAATATTATTACTTTATGGTATATTTACACACCCGTAATATGGCGTACCATGTCGATGATGTAATACATTTAAGGTCTTTGGCCTACACTTTCTGGCTGCCTTCACTTTTTTAGTTCCAATATTTTAGATTTTACAATAGCTTTCAATTATTTTTATTGGAACCAACAATTTTTGTAATTCTCTCTCTCTCTCTCTCTCAATTCTATACACGCTCAATTCTGATAACTAAGAAAATAATAATGAATTGCTTGTACTGAATTATGTTTGAAAAATAAAATAATTAAAAATATATTTTTGCTTTTCTATAAGTAGAATACTATATGGTGTTAGCAAATCAGCACTCACAATTCGCCATCATACAATATAATATCTACGTCAGGTGTCCTTTTTAACATATTCTGTTAATTTCTTAATGTCACGTGGTTTGATTCTACAACACCCTCCAATCCAAGTGGCTCCCTTGTTGATCCAATCAGATACGTGATCTTCAAAGGACGAACTCTCTCCTCGACCAAACCAACTGTTTAAATAATAACTCAAAATTTTACTCAGTCCAAAATGATATTTTCAGATTAGTCATAATTTCAGGGAATAGTATAATTTATTTGAAATTCTCTGAACACTTTCCTACTAAAATTGTATTCATAAATAGTCATAAAACTAAACGAACTGACAGATAAATACTTCGTTTCAAAATCAAAACATACCCAGTTAGTAACCTTATAAATGCGTCAGATAAAACATAAAAAACAGTGAACTATGAAGAATTTCATTCAAAATCTCGCAGACAGCCTTACACTAGTATCTGTGACAGTTTGCATACCAAACATAATTTGTTTGTTTGTTTGTTTGTTTGTTTTTTTTAATTCCTTTTCGTCTATAAGGTGATAGATTAACAGAACACTTATTTCCTCACCCTACTTCAGAATTCCAATTTTCTCCACTGTTAGGTTTCACAATGATTGGTTTTGATGTATGCAATGACTGAAGACGGTCGAGGAGTTCCGATACATGACTAGGGTGAGTACAGTTGAGACCGGCAGCAATCACCTGCTCTGACGTCATTACTTTTTGAATTGCATCAGCAAATTTTTCTCCATGACACAAACTCTCCCCATCCTACATAAAGCGTCATGCCTGTTAGTACAACATATACACTAGCAATAGCAAACTTAAAATTCGGTTAATTACAAAACATTGTCTATTTAAAAACAAGAGGCCCATGGGGCCACATCGCTCACCTGAGTAACTTTGACCTTGCTGTTCTTTACCAGATTTTCCCCCTTGTAATACCTATTGTGGCCCCGCCCTACCCCCGGGGGTCATGATTTGAACAATTTAGAATCTACACTACCCCATGATACTTCCACATAAGATTCAGCTTTTCTGGTCCAGTGGTTCTTGAGAAAAAGTTTTTTAAAGATTTTTCCTATATATTTCAATGTAAAACTTGGATTCCCTATTGTGGCCCCGCTCTACCCCCGGGGATCATGATTTTAACAATTTAGAATCTACACTATCCCAGAATGTTTCCACATAAGTTTCAGCTTTTTTGGCCCAGTGGTTCTTGAGAAGAAGATTTTTTAATGACTCCACCCTATTTTTGTCTTTTCTTGATTATCTCCCCTTGTAAGGAGACTTGGCCCTTTATTTTAACAATTTAAACTCCCCTTCACCCAAAAATACTTTGTACCAAGTTGGGTTAAAATTGGCCCAGTGGTTCTTGAGAAGAAGTTGAAAATGTGAAAAGTTTACAGACGGACAACGGGTGATCAGAAAAGCTCACTTGAGCTTTCAGCTCAGGTGAGCTAAAAGCCTATTTAAAAAAAAAAGATATTTACTTATATCATAAAATGACAAGTAAAAAATCAATGCATATATGTTAAATATCAAGTAACAAGGGGCTATTAGTATATAACATTTACAGTATAATATCTTTAAAGAAATCCTTTACACATTCACCTATTATATGGACTGAAGAGTACCTGCTTTTTTATCTAAAATTATTCAAATAAGCTAAAGTTTAGTGTAAATACTAAATATAGAGGATTTTAATGTCCAGTATTTATCTATCTAAGCGTTGCTTTTCTAAATTATAGTCAGTAATTAACCTTCAAAATGATATTTATCCGTACCTTTGCTCATACAAATAAAAGAGAAAAAAATTTCTTGCCTATGTCTGGCATCTATTGCAAGCCTCACTCCATATAGGAAACAAGAGGCCCAAGGGCCTTAACGGTCACCTGAGTACAATACAACAATTTAGAGGATCCATAAACTGATCAATGAAGCTTTGTTGCCAAAAGCAAGAAAAATAGTATGATTAGCATCTACAAAATAATTGGTCTAGTATCCATCTGTCCCCCATTTATCACTATTACCATGCAGACTATTAATAAAATGTCTATTTTTTAACCCCATATGATAGCATCTCACATTGGCCTCTCTTGGTCTTTGAGGAACATTTAAAAAGATAAGTTATTTTTTCTCATTTTTATTAATCTATTATTTCCAAGTCTACCTGATCATAAAAACTAGGAAAGTACTTTTTGTATTAAACAATAAATATTCTTGCATAATTCTCTTATTCTATTAACCTTTCAAATACATTATTTACAGTGATTAATTATAAAAGGTGAATGGCAAAGGGGAATAACTTTGCTCAGCAGTATACAAGTTATTAGAGCCCTTGCCAGGACCAGAACACTTGACTAAATGCATGGCCAAGGTGTTCAAATTTCTGGTAAAAATACCCTTGCATATTAAAACTTTTACTCTGTTTGCCTCCAATGTGCCCAGAAGCATAGAAGATTTTCAAAGAAATGCATTTTCACTATATTATTAAATAAATAAAGCCCCACCCTTAAATCAGAACATCTGACCCAGGGGCCATGAACTCATAATCCTGGAAGAAGCACCCTTGCTCATCATAACTTACACTTCTTTCTTTGCTTTATAACCAGTAGTAGAAAAAACATTTTGAAAGAAATTATGAATTTCCCCAATATAATCAATAGAGCCCCCCCTTTCATCAGAACCCCTGACCCAGGGGCCATGAATTTCACAATTTTGGAAGAGGAATTCTTCCTTATCATAACCATGCAGTCCCTTTGTTTGAATAATACCCAGGAGCAGAGAAGAAGATTTTGAAAGAATTTATACATTTTCCCTTTATAATCAATAGAGCCCCGCCCTAACACCAGAACCCCTGACCCCGGGGCCATGAAATTCACAATTTCTGAGAAAGCAGCCATGCTCATCATAAGTATGTACTTAGTTTATTTAATATCCAGGAGAGAGAAGAAGATTTTCAAAGAATTAATGCATTTTCACTATATATATCAATAGAGCCCCGCCCTAACACCGAAACCCCTGAGCCAGGGGTCATGAAATTCACAATTTTGGAAGAGGCAACCATGCTCGTCATAACTATGCACTAAGTTAGTTTATTTAATACCCAGGAGCAGAGAAGAAGATTTTCAAAGACAATGCAATTTTACTATATAATCAATACAGCCCCTTCCTAACATCTGAACCCCTGACCCAGGGGCCATGAAATTCACAATTTCTGAAAAGGCAGCCATGCTCACCATAACTATATCTTAGTTAGTTTATTTAATACCCAGGAGCAGAGAAAAAGATTTTCAATGAATTAATGAATTTTCACTATATAATCAATAGAGCCCTGCCCTAACACCTGAACCCCTGACCCCGGGGCCATGAAATTCACAATTTCTGAAAAGGCAGCCATGCTCACCATAACTATGTTCTTTGTTAGTTTATTTAATACCCAGGAGTAGAGAAGATTTTCAATGAATTAATGCATTTTCACTTTATAATCAACAGAGCCCCGCCCTAACACCAGAATCCCTGCCCCTGGGGCCATGAAATTCACAATTTTGGAAGAGGCACTCTTGCTCATCATAACTATGTACTTAGTTAGTTTATTTAATACCCATGAGCAGAGAAGAAGATTTTCAAAGAATTAATGCATTTTCACTATATAATTAATAGAGCCCTGCCCTAACACCAGAACCCCTGAGCCTGGGGCCATGAAATTCACAATTTTGGAAGAGGCAACCATGCTCGTCATAACTATGCACTAAGTTAGTTTATTTTATACCCAGGAGCAGAGAAGAAGATTTTCAAAGACAATGCAATTTTACTATATAATCAATACAGCCCCGCCCTAACACCTGACCCCCTGACCCAGGGGCCATGAAATTCACAATTTCTGAAAAGGCAGCCATGCTCACCATAACTATATCTTAGTTAGTTTATTCAATACCCAGGAGCAGAGAAAAAGATTTTCAATGAATTAATGAATTTTCACTATATAATCAATAGAGCCCTGCCCTAACACCAGAACCCCTGACCCCGGGGCCATGAAATTCACAATTTCTGAAAAGGCAGCCATGCTCACCATAACTATGTTCTTAGTTAGTTTATTTAATACCCAGGAGCAGAGTAGATTTTCAATGAATTAATGTATTTTCACTATATGATCAATAGAGCCCCGCCCTAACACCAGAACCCCTGACCCTGGGGCCATGAAATTCACAATTTTGGAAGAGGCGCTCTTTCTCATCATAACTATGCACTTAGTTAGTTTATTTAATACCCATGAGCAGAGAAGAAGATTTTCAAAGAAATAATGCACTTTCACTATATGATCTATATAGCCCCACCCTAGCACCAGAACCCCTGACCCTGGGGCCATGAATTTCACAATTTCGGTAGAGGGCTCAATGCTTATTATAATCATGCCAACAGTCTGACTGCTTAATATCCAGGAGTAAAGAAGAAGATTTTTAAAGATTGAATTAATTTTGGTGGTTTTAGCCCCACCCCTCAGGCCCCAGGGGGGCAGGGACCATTAAATACAAATTTTTGTTCTCCTTCACCCATAAATGCTATATGCCAAATTTGGTTGAAATTGGTTAAGCGGTTTAAGAGAAGAAGCTAAAAATGTTCAAATGTTAACACACGACGCACGACGACGGACGGAAACGGATAGCAATAGGTCACCTGAGTGACTCAGGTGACCTAAAAATACTAACCCCGCATTTTTTCCTCTTTTTTGCCAATTGCGTAATGGTGATCCAATACTTACAAAATATAAATTTTGGATCAGATCAAGGAAAAATAAACACAGTTTGTCTACAGAGTCAAGTCTGCATGTATTAGATGGGGTCAAAACAACACGCAAGAACGGGATGAAGATTTTTTCCAGAAGTAAATCCCAATGATAAGAGGATTTCAAACAGGTTTCATACGAAAAATCGTTCAACACGTGTCACCTTCAGGTCACACGTGTGGCAATTCAATGTAAGGCCATTCCAATTTTTTTCTCTGTGTAGCGTTCACCTTTCATACAAAAACCTTCCTACCTATTCACAAAAAACACACAAGCTGAAAAATAAGACATATTTTTTATTGTCATAAAAACGTTATTTAGAGGATTTGATTTCATTATTCTAGCTTTCTCATATAAAAATACATATTCCTGTGCAAAATCAAGGTATGAAATGCTAAGTCAATACCTAATTTGACAGATTATCAACAGACATAGAAGGAAATTGAAAGAATTTTAGATATTTAAACAAAATGACCAAATTCTTGACTATTGTGTGTGTGTGTGTGTGTGGTGTCAAAAACCAAGGCACGCACGGACTTTAAACGTAGAAAAAATTTGCAATGGTCTAATATTCGGGGGGGGGAAATGTTTGCCAATGTATATGGTTTCTCGATATATGTCGAAAATTAATAGAATGTTCTTCAGAAAGTCATTTTTAACATACATCACCATTGTCAAAAATAAACAAAATGACGGACCAAATCACTTTAAAGTAACAATAAATAAACAGATTAGTCTTAACAATGGAATGCCCTTCTACTGACACCATTCACGTCATTCTAATGTTTCCTTTTACCAAACAAAGTATGTTTATTCCTATTTTTGGCACTTTTCGATCATTCTTAGTAAAAACAAACTTTTTTCCAGGTGTAAACTACCTGGAACTGGGACACTTTACTCTAACCTTTAGAGAATCACTGCTTACTGTTTTGATAAATTACAATCTGTCTTAATCACGATTTGAATATGTTTGTTGTTTTCATTTTGAAAGACATGTCTTTGAGAAGGGAGAGGTTATTATACGTACAAGTTTAAAGAAACGAAAATATATATTTAGCTTCCTTTGGATAACAGTGTTTACATAATCTGGACACAATTACCAAGTCACGGACACTCCCTATTTTTGAGTAAATATAAATCATGTACTGAGAGTCTCCTATACTGTATTCTAGGTTCATGCTTCATAAGTTTATATTATGAAAGATATTTCAACCCACCCACCCCCTACCCCCCTCTCGGTCTTGACCTGCAAAAGTTAACTAATCAAGATAGCGCCGTAAACATTTTCTGTACTTTTGTATAATCTTTTTATGCCCCGCCATGAATATGGCCGGGGCATATAGTGTTTGTCATGTCCGTCTTCCGTCCTTCCGTCCTTCCGTCTGTCCTTCCGTCACACTTTGCGTTTAGCTCTGTTCAAAGCTCAGTTTCAAAGATACCATTCAAGATATTTTTATCAAACTTCATATGCTGATAGATATTGATGAGAGCTATGCAACTGCATCAACATTTTTTGACCTTGACCTTTCCTTTGACCTTGACCTCACTTTTCTTAAATTAGTGTTTAGCTCAGTTTTAAAGATACCATTCAAGGTAGTGTAATCAAACTTCATATGTTGATGCATACTGATGTAAGCTATACAACTGCTTCAACATTTTTTGACCTTGACCTTTCTTTTGACCTTGACCTCACTTTTCTTAAATTAGTGTTTAGCTCAGTTTTAAAGATACCATTCAAGATAATGTAATCAAACTTCATTTGTTGATACATACTGATGTAAGCTATTCAACTGCATCAACATTTTTTTGACCTTGACCTTTCTTTTGACCTTGACCTCACTTTTCTTAAATTAGTGTTTAGCTCAGTTTTAATGAAAGCATTCAAGATATTTTTAACAAACTTCATATGCTGATACATAATGATGAGAGCTATTCAACTGCATCAATATTTTTTACCTTGACCTTTCCTTTGACCTTGACCTCACTTTTCTGAAATAAGTTTTAGCTCAGTTTTAAAGATACCATTCAAGATAGTGTTATCAAACTTCATATGCTGATACATACTGATGAGAGCTATTCAACTGCATTAACATTTTTTGACCTTGACCTTTCCTTTGACCTTGACCTCACTTTTCTTAAATCAGTGTCAAACTTCATATGCTGATACATACTGATGAGAACTATTCAACTGCATCAATATTTTTTGACCTTGACCTTTCTTTTGACCTTGACCTCACTTTTCTTAAATTAGTGTTTAGCTCAGTTTTAAAGAAACCATTCACAATATTTTTATCAAACTTCATATGCTAATACATACTGATGTAACCTTTTCAACTGCATCAACATTTTTTGACCTTGACCTTTCCTTTGACCTTGACCTCACTTTTCTTAAATTAGTGTCAAACTTCATATGCTGATACATACTGATGTAAGCTATTCAACTGCATCAATATTTTTTCACCTAGACCTTTCCTTTGACCTTGACCTCACTTTTCTCAATTTGTGTTAAAATGTTGCATTACTAATATACCCTCGGCGGGGCATTCATGTCCTATGGACATATTTCTAGTTTCAATACGTGTTCATGTATATATATACATAAACATGTACGTGTATATTAGTAAAAATACTATATCATTTTAAACTAAAATACCTTGCATGAAAATGTAATGTATGCCTTTGCTGCAGGAAATTCTCTTGTAAGCAGCGTCAGAATTGCCTCAGCTTCCTTCAAAGCAGGGATAGTTTCCACGGCTAACATATCCACCCCGCCGTCTAGCAATGCTGTGACCTGGGGCCTGTGCCAATCTATTAATTCCTGTAGGATAATAGCTGCAGAATTAGCGTTATGGTTTTATATATTAATGTTATGGTCAAAGACTAATATATAAAACCATAACACTACAGTTCTGCAACTAGTAGGATAATCACTTTAGATATTTAGAACACATGTACTGTGCAATTTTAATATGCATCAAAACAAGTTTAGTATACCTCCATTTTATGCCCTCAAATTTTGAAGAAAAAAAGCATGTAAGAACACAGCTAACAAAATTAAGAATTAGTGCACATTTTCTATTTATTGAAACAGGCAGATATTGTAAACCAATAACCCCCCAAGGAAATTGAAAAAGGAGAATTTCTTGAAGTGCATGATAAAGTTCGGAATTTTCCTTCCAGGAAAGCTACAGTTCTGCAGTTATGTGAAAGTGAGCTTGTATAGGAAGCTTCATCTAATCCACGGGTCAGTCTAAAGTATTTCGGTAATATTGCAATCCACTGATAATCCATATTTTAGGCGGTGTGTAACATCCCAAGAAAACTACTGTCAACCGAGGCGTAGCGGTTTTCGAGGGTTGAAAATTTTCGATGTTACACTCAACTACATTGTTATACCTTTAGAAATTGTTTCCTATATAATTCTATACTTAAAAAGTCTAACATTTCCAATGTTTTACTGAGTGGTCATAAAAAAATCGATGTTTGGCCGCAGAGCGATGCGTTTTGTCGGACCCAAGAACCAAACTGTTTGCCTGAGGCCGTTAGGCCGAAGGCAAACAGTTTGGTTCGAGGGGTCGACAAAACGCATTTTGCCCGAGAACACAGTCAATAAATGTTTTGTTATACCTTTTACTTTTTATTTTGACATAGCATGATGTAAATTTTGTTTACTCGCACTGGGGTTTAAACTTGATCAATTCCGTAAAGTTCTGTCGAACTCCAACAAATGCAAATAAGATTCAGCTGATCCCGCCCACACTGTGACATAAGCGGTCCAACATCTGTTTTGTTTTTGTTTTGTACATATTTTATTTATTACATCGAAAGGATACTTACAAAGTTCCTCTCCTTATATATATGTATTACAATTTGTCACGCAAATTAAAAGAAAAATAATACAATTAATACAAGTGAAAAAGCAATTAAATAAGATATCAACTAGAGAATGTACATGTTTCGTCAATAAATTTATGAACAGCAGCGAAAATACTGTTATTTATCTGTAAAGGCAAATTAACATCACCACATAGTAATAGATTTATATCAATAGTAACCAATTCAAGAGTGAACAAGCGATTAAAAAGAGTACTTCTTGCATTAGAATAATTTTTACATGCAAAAAAGAAATGGTACACATCTTCATTTTTTCCACATAAACATAAGGGACTATTTATAATGTTTCGTTTATACAGATCATAATTTAGTATACAGTAATGTCTTAGCTTTGTATAAATGATATTGGTGTATCGCTTACCAAAAGAGAAGTATGATGGTGGATTTTTAATTTTTGTTATCAAGTTTTTTCGGAATGTTTTGATTGAGATGGCTTCTCTGACCTCTGTTTTTAGAAAATTCCATTGTTTGCAGCATCAGGTACGAAAGAGTTTCTAAATAATTCTAATCTACACCTTGAAACAATATAATCTTGTTTGTTACGGGTATTGTATATGGATACATGTTCACGCTTATTGGGGACAATATCATGCAAATATTCAGGTACCCTTCTCGTGTGAATTTTGAACATAGTAGTCATTTTTGCAATATATCGCCTGGTTTTTAAAGTTTCCCGACCAGTTTCAGATAAAGTGCAACTCTAGACACAAAAATAGGAAGTCCTGTTACAATTCTAGCGGCGGTTAATTGTACTTTTTCAAGCTTTTCAGAATCTTGTTTAAAGCAGCCATCCCAAACAACTGAAGCATGTTCAAGCATAGGTCTGATGAATGAAATATACAATTTTGATAAGTTTTTTCTACCCATTTTGAACTTCAATTTCTTTAAGAGGCCTAGTTTTTTATAAGCACTGTTCACAACACCATCAATATGTTTTGACCAACTAAGATTTTGTGTCCAACATCTCATCCACAGGTCAAATATCTCGCTCTGCGGTCAAACATCGATTTTTTATGACCGCTCAGTAAAACATTGGAAATGTTAGACTTTTTTAAGTATAGAATTATATAGGAAACAATTTCTAAAGATATGACAATATTTTTTAACAAATGTTCCGTTCCTCGACGAATCAAATTTACTAATTTATTTTGAATTAATTTATATGAAAGTATAAAATATTGCATTGTCAATCGGATGCATGCTGTATCTCTTACATCATGCAGAACGAAAGTTAATAGTATATGAAACAGTATTTATATGCTATATTTTTCCACATCAGAACGAGCATAAGCATAGGAAAAGTAATGTATGCTGTATCTCTCACACCAGTACTTTAACGTTAATAGCATAGAAAACATTATTGTATGCTGTTTTTTTTTCACATCAGAACGAGCATAAGCATAGGAAAAAAGATTGTATGCTGTATCTCTCACACCAGAACTAAGGTTAATAGCACAGGAAACATTATTGGGAGAGTCGGGTAGGTAAGGAATACGACATCTTTGTCTAAACTATCTGTGAAAATGTTCATGCATGATATTTTGATGCATGTACGTTTTGAAATTCAAGCGAATTTTCTCGAGGAATTCGAAGACAATTGTTAAAATACATATAAACTTTAATCACATGGTCAAAATTATGCAAAATTACGAACCATATCACTTTAAGACTGGGACAAAATTTTTAAAAGAAGTCAATGCTTAACTGACAAATAAATAGATGTTATATATCCATAACGATTTCAGACAAACACGTTTATACGTTTAATACCTGTTGGGTTATATTATCAACATAATTTCCGCTGTATTCAGATCCATCATGCAGAAAGACACCATATGGCCCCACTGACCCGGCCACTCGTCTGTCTTTTCCTAAATACATATCAATAAATTCATATAAATGAAATCAGTAAAATTTTAGCATTTAATTATTAATTTTTAAAGATTATTTTTTAGCAATAAAAATCCAGTCTCAACGTACGAAATCAAAGGTACATGAATTTTATTTATAAACTGGAATTTCAACATTATCTGAGGAAATGCTTGTCAAACTGCAAAATTCTAAAAATAAATCATATTAATAAATTATATTAAAATATTAAATATGGGACATTTTATATTCCACAAGCTTAGTCGATATATATGTTAAAATTTCCACTGATACTAGTAATATCAACCGTAAGAATTCGATATACAAGGACCTGCAAGGACCCGTAAATACATATTCTCTATTTTTTTTTCTTTCTATAGAACATAAGCCCTCTGGTTTAACATTCGATTGATAAGTCTTTTTTTTTTTTTAATTTATTTTAATAAATCCAAATACAACAGCACGGCACTATTGAATATATTTCATTCCTTAAACTTGGAACATTTTTTACTTTTCCTGTATTTATGGCATCTTGCAAACTTGAATATATACATTTGTGGTATCTCGCTATAAAATTTATATAAACATGCAGAGGGCAAAGATCTTCATACCTGTATGAAGTTTTTTGAAGGTCATAGGTCATTACGTGACCTAATCACACAGCGCAGTAATATCTATACATAAAAAGACTTACTCCACTTAGCAATATAGCATGCTTTCAGTTATTTGGGTTTTACAGTCATTCTATGATAAAATGACTAGTTCAGGGTATACATAATACAACAATGGGAAAAAAGTTCCTTCATATAGCCAAACGGACAGTATAATTCTATAAAGGACATATCAGTGCACTTGGGAAAAAATTGTCCACAAATCTGGTATCGTTATTAAACATACAGGATGCATTATGTTACAATGGTAAATATTAGCGACGTTAGAAATTGTTATTTGGTCATATTTTTGAAGAATGACTGTTTTAAAGATTACATCCCCTGATAATGGATTCATTATTAAAGACTATTAAGAAAACACACACCAGAGGGGAAGGAGAGAGAGTTTTTTCCTTGCCTATGTTTGGCATCTCCTCACAAGCTTCTCTTGCAAGCTTCACTCCAGATTTAATAAGTTCCATGGCCTTCTCTGTCGTCACCCCGAGGAACTTCTTAAATCCCTCCACGGTAGCTTGGTAAGTTACTGTTATTACTGTATCCGCCCCCGCCTCTAAATAACTAATAAAAACATTCTTTTATTAAATAAGATATTTTTGATTAATGAAATACTGAATCCATTAATAAAAATATTGCGAAAACTGTGCAGTATGGTTATATCACTGATCTTTCTAATACCTTTTGTGAAGTTTTTTGATCGCATCAGGGTTGGTATCTAGTAATTTGGCCGACCATAATGGATCCCCCTTAATTTAAAGAAAAAAGGAAAAGAAATTATCGATTTCTTTTTCAATCATGTTCATGCATAAAACACAAATGACCAAAGTGAAACAAATGTGAGCGGAAAAAAAATAAGGAAGGAAAAAAAAAACAAAAAGGCTCCAGGGGGAGTCGAACCCTCGACCTCCTGTTTACTAGACAGGCGCTCTAACCAACTGAGCTATGGAGCCGTTACACTGTCCTGGTATAAAACTACAATATATCTGGGGGGAAAAATGCATACAATTCACATTTCATGCTAATATAGCAATTCCACTGCTAATGCTTTTCTCTATCATTTCATTCACTCTTGGCACTTGTATATTGTTGCCGCTACTAAATGCGCTGCATAAAATCCGGTTGTCGGATGCTCTGATGCCCATGCTATGATGCTTATAAAAAATATTAAGCCTAACTTACAGTTATGTTATATCCTAGATCTTGTAGCTCTGACCCAGCTCCACCATCCAGTATACGAAAATCTGATTTACTCATTGTTTAAAAACGTTTTGAATGAAAAAAGGAAACAATTACTTTCGGTTTCACAAAGGGGGATAACTCATTATTTTTTATTTATAGACCTAGGGAATCCCTATCACCTGACCGGAAGAATTGAATCGAAAGACACGTAGCCCTGACATCATTTCCGCAGAAGAGTGAGTTTGTAAACATTCCATTTCAGAAAAGATTTCGTCAGATAGATTTAAAATTTGATGACTCACTTTTGGTCTGATGGTCTTTATGGGTAGAAGAAGGAGCCGAAGATGGAAGGCATTCGCTTGGTTTTTTGTAACTTCACTTGGAGCGCTGTTTTACTCAATAAGGTGTAGCAATGCAGCAAGTGACTCCCTGTACAGTAGTGAACAAAACCATATTCCTGGTGATGAGATTAAAAGCCATGTCACCCGTCCAGAGAGTGGGTCCTGTAAAAACAGACCCCCTAAACAAAAGTGAGTCTTACCTCACAATTTTTATATGCTTTTGTTTTTCGTCAACATTTCAGAAAAATGCAGCTTTAAATTGAGATTGCATCTGCAGCTTCAATATGCTTTGTGCAGAATATTAGAGATAACTTGTACCTATATATAGAAATGACAACCCTGTAGAATTCCAGATGCTTCCCATTTCAACATGTTCAGGATGTTGCAACCTTCTAATAATGTTCAATGGAACTGTGTTCCATTACATAAAGTTCAACGTGTGACTTGCAGACTACTGGATAGAATGTTCTTTCATTTGAGTTAGATATTGTCCCTCAGGACGACACTTCATGACTAAGAACATGCTGCATGGCAGTTTAGATATGACAACCAGAACAAGAGTTTCTGGATCCTTCTTGAGGTTTTTCTATATGTAGGAGTCATAGTTTAATTTTGATGGATTACTCATTTGGATCTGGTTGTCCCTGTGTCACTGCAGAAATAATTTTGATTTTAGCTTTCAGTCTGTGTTCCCGACCAGTGCTTTATTATCTTTTGCAAATAGACATGTTTCTGTTAAGGTTTAAATCTATTTTTATGAATTATGTCCATGACCTAATTTCTTCATCTGAATATAATTATTTTCTTCTGAATTTCATAACATATTTTTCAACATGCATTTATCTAAACTGATTTGAAGACAATAATTTGTGTGAAATTAAAATACTAATCTTTCACAACAGATTCCTGATTGTGGTCAGTACATTGGATGGAAAGCTTTCTGCCCTGGATGCAGCAGATCATGGCAGAGTTCACTGGACCGTATCAACTGACCCTCGACCTCTTTTGTCCTCCAGCATCAGCAACCTTGATGTATGATTTATTAATGCACCTTTTTTTTCAAATTGTTGAGTAGTTTCTTTTTACACTTTGTTTTCAAATGGATGAAAAAATGTTACTTAGTATGCCAAGAATATTTTTGGTACATTTTATACAAACTTTTTGTCATAAAACATATTGTACTGTATGTTACTTTCAGCTTGTGAAAAAATTGCACATTTCTCAGGATGATAGATTCAAGATGATAAGTCAAATGAAGTGTTTATATCTTTTTTTTCATTCATGAGGTTTTTTTTTCTTCAGATAAATCAGAATGGGGTAAGGAAAAGATTGATACCCTCCCTGGATGGCACCCTCTATCAGTATGATGGGGACAGCATTGAAGCTATTCCAATGACAGCAGAGGCCCTTCTTAGCTCCTCCTTCAAACTATCAGACAGAACAATGATGGTGGGGGGTAAAGACATCAGTTCATTTGGGATAGATCCTGTCACAGGAAAGGTAAAATTTATGTCAAAATTCCTTCTGGCTAATTGTTTATATATTTATTTCAAAGATGAAAGAGTCTAAAATCTTATGCAGGGAGGGGTTAACATTTTGCTTAAGCCCTCTGTGTGGTTAACAAGCATTCTGAGAGTATTGCATTAGCAATACTAGTCCCCTACCAGCAAGTGTAATCTGGTTTCCGCTAAAAATTGAAAATGCCATAATTCCGTCAAAAATCATTGAAGCAGAGCGAAATGCAAACTTGATCTATAAGTAATCAAGGTAAAGTCACATACCAAAAATCAGCTCAATATCTGCATGTGTTTAGAAAAAAAATCGCGGAAAACCCTTAAAAATTGAAAAGGTCATAATTCTGTCAAAAATCAATGAAGCAGAACGAAATGCAAACTTGATCTGTAAATCATCAAGATACACTCACATACCAAAAATCAGCTCAATATCTGCAAGCGTTTAGGAAATGAGTGCGGAAAACCAAGTGGGACAGAATGACAGACAGACAGAGGGACAGACAGACGGACAGACAGACAGACAGACCGACAGACGGACGGACAGACTCAGAGGAAACCTATAGTCCCCTCCGGTTTCACTGGTAGGGGACTAATAAAACAAGCATTCTGAGAGTATTGCATTAGCAATACTAGTCCCCTACAGGTAAGTGTAATCTGGTTCCCAACAAAAATTTAAAATGTTGTAATTCTGTCAAAAAAATCATTGAAGCAGGACGTAATACAAACTTAATTTGTAACTCATCAAGATACACTTACATCAGGTCAATATCTGCAAGCGTTTAGAAAAAAAAGTGCGGAAAACCCTTGAAAATTAAAAAGGCCGTAATTCCCTCAAATATCAATGAAGCGGAACAAAATTTAAACTTGATTTGTAACTTATCAATATACACTCACATACCAAAAATCAGCTCAATATCTGTAAGCGTTTAGAAAAAAAGTGCGGAAAACCAAATGGGACAGACTGACAGACAGACAGAGGGACAGACGGACGGCTGGACAGACAGACAGAGAGACGGACGGGCAGACTCAGAGGAAACCTATAGTCCCCTCCGGTTTCACCGGTAGGGGACTAATAAGGAATCTAAAATCAGTTTCAGTATATTCAGAGATTGAAAGAGAAAGTGATTTTTGATGCACAGTAGTGTATTTCTGTGCTTCTTAGCACATGTAGTAATGCCTCTGTAAATTTATAATATTTGCTCTGAAAAAACAAATTTTAAGAAAGATGTTGACCTTTCAGCTGAGGTATTTCTGCACTTCTGAGGGGTGTAAGATTTTGGACAGTGATGACCAAGGTGACCGAGACATGTTGGTAGTGACCAAGAGCATGCAGACTGTCCGATCAGTAGACCCCAGGAGTGGAATTGAAAAGTAAGAATATCTGCAACTTAATGATTTATTTGAGGAATACAATCCAATTAAAATTAGATCCATTTGGCTCTTGCAAATCAATCTGAGTTTTAATAAAGCATTTTTAGAGAGGGATTAAGAAAATTTCTTGAAAACGGATACAAAGAGAGATGGGTACTTTCCTTTGTTGTTTTATTAGCCTGCTTTAGGCTTATTACTTTTTATTTAAGAAATTAATTTAAAAGTTGAAATTGCAAATAACAACTTTCTAAGGTCACCTCATTTCCTGATATTTAAGTTTGTTATTGTAACCAAATTTTTCTTCCAAAGGACAGATTTCAAATTATTCTTTACAAGAGAATCCCTCATTTCTGAGTTTCTTATAAGCAAGATTTGCTGTATTTCTTTATGTAGCCTCAAGTTTTGCATGATTATATATGTACTTACAATTTGATAGGTGGAACTTCAGTGTTGGAAGCCATCAAATAGAAATGATCCCAGGAGATAAATCCCATGATGCAACACCACTGGAGGAAGAGGATGACATCTGTAGTCAAACTTGTCCAAGTAAGAAGTATTCATAAGATCCAATCTTATACTTTGATGTTAAAACATTTTATTTTTACTATAATTAATTCAGATACAATTATTAGTAAACAATTTCTAACATAACACTTCTTACAACAAGTTAAAGCTGCAGATAGAAAAAGTAAATACAATACTCAGACGTAATTTAAATAGTTTATCAATATTCGAGATGTTAGAAAATAAACACTATTTAAAGCAGAACATAAATTCACTTATTTGCCTCAAACTTTATAGATCCAGTTGAAAATTTAAACACTTTAATGAAAATTCATCAAAGACAAACCACCAAATTTTTAAATTTATACTTTTCAATAAGACAAAAATATTTATACCAATCCAATTAATGTCATGCGTGCTATCTTTATTGAAAATGGAAATATTGTACATATATTAAAGTGACATATAGGTCCAATGGGCCGGGTGTAATGTATACCGGTATACGTTTATATTGTATCTATTTGTTGTTTGAAAAACCATACACATGTCACTATAATAAAATATTTACTTACTTACTATAGATGAGGAGACACATGATATGCTGGACACAGACGACTCTATTAAGATCATTGTACCAGAAGGAATGGTGGTCGCTCTCAGTCCAGAAAATCCAGATGTTGTAGACTGGAAACACAAGGTCAGACAATTTAATGTTTGTTACATGTACTGGATGTATGAAGCCTTAGAGATGATATTTATAAATAAAGCCTTAAGTGAACATGTTAGATGTAAAGCAGTTTATAAAATTGTAAGTTTATAAAAGTCAGTGGGCTTTACTCCACCAGTCCACCCAGCCACCCAGGAGTTAAAAAATGCTATCATGGACAACTTTTAGATAAGAGATTGAGAGGAATTTGCTGTCCCATTATTTAGCCATCTCTGTATTATTATCCAGTGTCAACACATTGTAATGATCCCTACCAATCACCATGTTGAATAAATAGCTGTATTAGAGGAGTGGTATTAATTTAGTTCAATTATAATATTTTAGTTTGAGAGTCCAGTGGCCAAGGCCTGGATACTGAGGAATGGTGTGTTGAAATCAATCAGTGTGTTCGACAATAAACATATTCCAGCTCTGTCTGGATTTGAGGACACGGGGGATGTAAAGGATCCGACAGGAAGTCAACCTCTACTTTATGTGGGTAAGTCATACAGCACCCCCCCCCCCTTCCCCCTTTTGATGTCATTGAAAATGAAACTGCAGAATATATGTGTAATTCAATTAAGTATTAAGTCTGTTCAGTAATTTTTTCAAATTTCTTCATTTAAAATGTCAGGATTGAAGAATTTTATAAGTATGTGTTTATTTTTGAAATTCATTTAAATTAACATCTTATTCTCCAAATATGTGTAATTAGCACCAGATATTTTGTAGTATAATTCAAAATTTGAAGTTATTATATTGGCGTTCTCAGGTTTGCACCAGAATCAGCTTTATGTACAGCCCTCTGTTCCCATGCAGGAGAATGTTGCAAATGCAGCTCACCGTTTTCATGGCAGTGCCCTTAGTGTACCCAAAGTGACCTGGAAACCACTTATCAGTACTGGTTAGTGACAAAATGAGAAAATTTATTTTAGTTTTGCCATTTTTTTCAAAAAAAAATTTGAAGGAGAAAGTATAATTTTAATATCATCATTCTTTTTCTTTGTTAATAAATTGAGTATTTATTTTTATAACATGAGACAGATCTGAAAACTAAACTGAAATAAAACTTGGAATTAAGCTTTATTAAAAAAAAATTAAAATTGAATTTTCAGCCCCCTCAAGGACCCCCATCTTCCGTGGAAATAGACAAGATCCCAGTGGTCCACGGATGATAGCCAATGGGCAAGCAGCAAACAAAGAAACTGGCCTTTCTGTTTGGCATGAAAATTACCCATTTGGTAAGTAGTTAATTCAAGTTGATAATAAGGATATCTATACAAAGAGAACCAAGTGATTATTTGCTGTTTATTCACATTTTTGTGTACCAGTAGGTAATTCGAAGGTGAAGGACATGGTTTGGTAGTGTAAGATACATGGCAGCTTGGGCTGGTGGGTTAATCCTTGGACTAGTGGGTTAACTCTTTAGTTCAATTGGTAAAGCAATGGACTGGCATGCCAGCGGTACTGGGTTCAAATTCATTTTAGGCACAAACATGTCTCTGTTACATTTGTCACCCACATTGGGAACTGGGTATTCTCTGGTGGGGAAGAGTAATTGCCCCATGAACCTCACCCTACAGGTGTTGGCACTCCAAAAAAGATAAGGACATTTCAATCTCTTGAGGGGAACAATGTGATAGTGTGAGATAAGATATATGTATGGCATTGTTCTAGCTTAGGCAAGTGGGTTAACCCTTTAGCTTGATCGATAGAGCACTGGACTGGCATGCCAGAAGTACCGGGTTCAAATCCATTGGGAGGCCCAAACATGTCTCTGCTAAAAAGGCTAAAAGTTTGATAGAATACAAGTAGATTTTATATAAATCCAACTTTTGAATCCAACTTTGTACCATTTCAGATAATGGTTACTACCTTTACCCAGATGTCATTCTACCTGCAAATATCTGTGAAGCTATTAACAAAACAGAAGAGAGTATGCCACATGTGATCTACATGTCTTTGTGGAACTATTGGTGTGTTTCTGTCCTGTAGTGTTTGATCATAATTTTCTAGAATTTTGTATTTGATCTTGACTGAACTGTAAGGGATTAACATATTAACATCTTTGTTTGATTTTCAGGAAAGAGGTGTTAGCGATCAGTATACTGACATCTGTTTGTCTGAACTTAACAATCTTAAAGTTAAGGAAGGTCTACAAAAAGAAATGCATGGTTAGTAAGAGAAATTTTTTATATACATATTTGTGTAATTCTTTCACATGAAATGTTTGCAATGCTGTCTAAGGAAATAAAAGACTGTTTTGATAATGTAAATGGACTTTTTTTCAGAGTTTTGAAAAGGAGGATAGTTTAGTAATCTCTGGGACTCGGTCAGTTGAAGAATTGGATACTACAGAGAAAAGAACTGATGAATACGAATCAAGGTACAATTCTGAACATTGCCTTACTTTCTCAAGTTTTTAGATTGGCAATTTTGTAGATGCAGTGTTATGTGTTTTCAGTCTGGTACATGTATATTGTTATATCTTGTCTATTTTAGATATAAGACAGACTTTGAACAGCTACAGGTGCTTGGTAAGGGTGGATTTGGTATCGTGTTTGAGGCCAGAAACAAAGTGGATGAGTGTTGTTATGCTATTAAGAGGATCACACTACCCATTAAGTAAGTTTGTATTCTGAAAAATTAGTCTGTGTGTCATTTGAAGGCAAATGCTTCAATGAAGTCAAAAATATTTAAAGATTCAGTGTTAAATGTCATTATAAATTGAGACTTTAATTTCATTGAACAGCAATTAAAATTACTGTTTCTATCCAAATCTTTGTCAGAAAGGTGTATTTTATTGACCACATTTTGTTTTGTGTCAAGGGAAATAATACTGTTGGAAGTAGATGAATTGGACTGAAAATCAAAGTCTATCATTCGTCATCGTCATTTAATGGCACAAAAATCAGATCACTATCTGCAGGCATATGTAATCAGACACATTCAGATAATGTTAAAATAATGCTTCAGGCATAAAAATTATTGCTCATCATTTGCAGTGAAGTATCCAGATTGAAAATGAAGAGAGAAGTTTTTGCATTGGCTAAGCTTGATCATCCTGGAATAGTTCGTTATTTCCAGGCATGGGAGGAAACTCCGCCAGTAGGCTGGCAAGAGAATAAAGATCAGGAAATGTTTGAGAGGTAGAAATTTGAAGTTTGGGAATTAATGATCACTGATTTCAGTATGACCATAATAATATTTTGTTGGTGTTGAAACTGAAAATTTAAATTTTTCTTCAACGCAGTGAATGCATCAGTATGCCAACACCATGTAATTCCACAACTCACTTTGCGCCAAAAGATCCAAACACTCATGACAGTATTCACTTGGAATTAAATGATGGCATACGAGAGAAAAGTACAATTAACCAGTTTGGAGGTGGCATTAACGATGATCGCTACATCATCACCTCCAATGAACGGGCTGGAGGAAGTCAGGAATTCAGTGTGTCAACAAAGAGCCTTTCATGGGAAAAAAGCGAAGATTCCAGACGTCTATTTGGACAAAGGATTGAAGAAGAGTCTTCTTCATTGGATGTGGAGTTTAATTTGGATGTTAGTGATGACAGTGATGATAGTGGAAGCTTCGCTAACACCACGGTGCCTTTCTCTAAATTAACAAATCCCCATACAGAGAATGAAAATGACTCTTTCAGTATTGTGTTTGAAGATTCAGGTTGTGCAGACAAAAGTGGAAAGAGTAGCAGAAGTAGTAGTAGTGGTGGAATAGTATTTCAAGATGATAGTAACCATAGCAACAGATACATTGTGGACATTCCAAGTGAATCAGGAGGCAGTCGACCAAAAACTCTGTCTCTATCAGACCAAAAATCACACTCGGCCAGGAAGTTGCAATTGGACAAGTCAACTCCTACCCAGAGGTCTTACCTGTATATACAGATGCAACTGTGTCGTCGAGAGACACTGAAAGATTGGCTTTGTGCCAGCACCTGTGAACCTAGAAGTTCAGAGGTCATCTGGGACATGTTTGGTCAGATTGTTAGTGCAGTTGAGTATGTGCACAACAGCGGACTTATGCACCGAGATCTCAAGGTACAAACATTTTTTTTAACTTCAGATATATATTATTTGGAAATTTTTTTCTGTTGAATTTTAAAAGAACTGTATGAGATGCCCTCCTTACATATACCTTAATTCTATTAAAGTTTTACTAATTGTTCATTTTTAAAACAGGTTTATACATTCTTACTTTAGTTTTAAAAGCATTAAGAAATTGTATTGGAATCATTTATTTTCACTTGGACATTGTATATTTATAGCCCTCCAACATTTTCTTCTCTTATGATGAAGTGATTAAGATAGGGGACTTTGGATTAGCCACTGACCTCACAGAAGAGATTGAGGACTGCTCAGCCGATTCTAATCCATTCCGAAAACACACTGCTCAAGTGGGGACAACTCTGTATATGAGCCCAGAACAGGTAATAATTTGTCATCAAATTCATCTATATTACATGTGTAACAAACAACACTTTTTGCTAATCTCATTTTATTATGTGCATGGATGCATGGGAAAAATTACTTGTAAAAGAATGTGGTAATGAAAGAAGGTTGCACAAATGCATTAAATACATGTTAGACATGATCCATTCTTTTGCAAAAGGTTAACTTCTGTAAACTTTATATGAACTGAATACCTAAATGACTTAAGCAAATGTTATTTTGATTTTAAATGAATTTGGTCGTTTTTTAGATGGCAGGAAAGCCCTATGGTCCGAAGGTTGACATTTTCTCCCTGGGAATGATCCTCTTTGAAATGCTGTATTTCTTCAACACTCAAATGGAGAGAGTTCGGACATTAATGGAAATAAAAAAGAGGATTTTCCCAGAAGAATTCAAGAAAAATCAGGAGGAGGTTTTTAATTTTTTTTTCCTCTGATAACCTAACAATTCTAATGAGAATTTATACAAAATAATTCAATGAATGAACTTTTGTTCTAAGCCAGGCATGATTATCATTGCTAAGATTAATCACTTTATGGATTTATTTCAGTATAAATTTGTGGATTGGTTGCTCTCTTTTGAACCTGCCCAAAGACCCAGTGCTACAGAAATCATGAACAGTAAACTGCTGGAGAAATTCCGCTCTCAGCATCCACCCAAAATTCACAGAGATCGTTCCATCTCATCTAGCAGTAGTGGATCTCTAGCCTATGACTGAAGGGTTGTGTTCACAGAATTCTTTATCTTCCACTATGTACATCTGTTCTCAGAATCAGGTCTTTATAGCCCTTAATTAACTATTGAATGTGCACAAGATTTCAGAAGTGTAGTGCTTATTTGCCTAAATACTTTGTCCTCATTTTTCATTTTGAAATTTCAGGGAGTTGCTTCCCCATCAATCATTTGTATTTTTTAAGGAAAGAAATTAAAAGCTACCCAAGTTGTATGAATATAACCTGGGTTGGGGCATTTTATAAAGCTGTATATAAAAAAAGCTTAACCTGTTCCAACTCAGATTGTACATGTATATGTTGAGTAGCTATTAAATTCATTCCTTATAGTTTAGAAAATGAGATGCATTGTCCTCAAAAAATGGTATAAAAAAATATACAAAATTTAAATGTAATGTCAGTACATGTAAATTTCTTGACACAACTAATATTGCAACATAGTCATGTATGCAACAAATTTATTCAATATACAATTTTTAGCTTAACTGAATTGAAGGCTTTAGTGAGCTCTTCTGATTGAAATTTTCGGTAAACAGTCGTAGTCTATTGTTGTCATAAATTTTTCACATTTTCATCTTTTTCTCCAGAATCACTTGGCCAATTTCATTCAAAATTTAGAACGGAAAATCCTTAGGTAAAAGGAATTTGGTTTCTTTCAAAGGAAAGGTCACACCGTCTTCTAATGGGAGATAATTAAGAAATGGTAAAAATTAAATGGGTCATTTAAAATTCTTCTCAAGAACCAGTGGGCCATTCAATTTTATTCAAGTTTATGCAAATCATGACCCCTGGGGGGGAGGGGGGGGGCCACTATAGGCATTCAAAGTCTTGCATAGGAATACACAGGAAAAATCTTTAAGTCTTCTTCTGACAAACAGCAAAAGGATGATCAGTCACTTTTATATTGAAGCATCCTCATGTAGTGTTGATTCAAGTTTGTTCAAATAATGACATGTGGGTGTAAGGTAGGGCCACAACATGTTATTTTAATTTTACATATAAATAAATAGGGGAAAAATCTGCAGGGAAAACCCCCCCAGAAGGATCATAGTTACTCAGGTGAGCATTATGGCCCATGGGCCTCTTCATTTTTGATCCAGTCAAATAGCTGGTTTAAACAAGAATTTAGTTCTATTTACATAATTTTACTGTCAAAATCACCTCATGAATGTAATAGATAATTTAATAGATATACCATAGTTCTTGGCTGGGAAACTTTAAGAAGGAGGATTGGGCAATCTATGTGAAATATTTTTTGTCATTATTATTTTTTGTTCATAATCAGGGCACTTTGAATTTTTTTTCCAGAATCTCGAGTGTAATTAACAAATGTCTAGTGCTTGCTTTATTCTTCAGGAATTGCTTAGATAAAAATAAAATCACTGTAGTTAATTTTTTAAACTATATAACAGGTATTTATTTTGTTGAGTCAATTGTGTGTTTCATCCCCTAAATTTATTATATGTAGTGAGTGTGATGTGTAGTGCATATGTAATTGTTGTTTTACCAAAGTGCTTTCAGAAATTTAAAATTTGCATTAAAAAGAGTACATATTTTCTACACTTTCCACACAAGGAAAAGCCATTGTATAAAAGTTTGCTTGGAAGTAGTAAATGGATGAGAGAGTAAAGGTGGGAGAATTCTTGGGGAAAAAATTGTTAGCGTACAGTATTTGTTGTGTTGAAATTTTTTGTAATTTTTGCAATGATGCAAAATTAAAAAAATAAATTATTTTTTCTTACATATTTTTCTTTTTTCTCTCCCTCTTCAGAAACATCAGAAACACTTTGTTGTACTGAATGGTACAAGACAAACAGAATTGATTCATTATACTCTGCTGATCAAAGTGCATCTTACATGTGTATTTGTTAACAATAGGGCTGAACAATAACTTTTTTTGGTTTCATGATGTGATCAAGCGATTGGCTTGCATGATAATTTGCATTAACACTGAAGGTGTTTATGCATAAAATTATCACTCAAGCCAATTGCTTGATCTTCGTCATGAAACAAAAAAATCTGACAGTTATTCCTTATATTTACATGCACGTGATTCCATTAATTCATGTGCTACAAGCTCCGCTTACTTCTGTTTCTCTCTGTCTAGCCCCACACACAATTTTTTTATCCACACCTATCAATGAACCAGTAGCTTTATGTAGAAATAAAGTATTTTTACCATTTGTAGTTTTATCTCGGACAAAGAAATTTTAAAATGTAAATATTTCTTGATAACTACAACTGAATGTAAATTTTGCCAAGTGTGGTCAAGTGCCAAATATGCATGCAGCTGTCTGTGTTTGATGTCAGTGGATGGGACTGTGAAAATTAACAAGGAATGCCTCGTGTACTTTAAATCTATTAGATAGGATTTTTTAAATTTATAATTTAATACACTTTTATTTCACACATAAATGTAAATATGAGGGTTTTATTGAGGAATCACTGCCCGTTATGCAAATTATCCCATGTTTCCAACTATCATTGATGCCCTGGCATACCCAACAAACTAGAGAGTGATTCCTTAAACATGTTGCAATACACTTATAAATACATTTTAAAATATTGCTTTATATCACAATACGAAATTCCCAGACAATACTAGGCCTAGTTAACAAAATAATATATTTTCAAAAAGGGCCAGTTTTCAGTGTAAATGACATTAAATTTAACTGTATTTTAAAACTCTTAACTCTTGTTTTTGCCATGGAGTTGTTTATCATGCAGAACAAGCATTCTGACAGTAATGTTGAATTATACCAGCTGTACACATCCCCTTCCTGTCATGACAAAAAAAAAACATGTATCCACACTCTTAATATTATGATTATAACAATTCTGAGAATTGACAGTAATCATTGAGGAGTTATCTATTATCTCTCTCCCAAAAGGTGCCGAGTCTTTGCTGGGAACTGACTGCTGTCAGTATCAATTAAAAATCGTCAAATCTCTCAAATATTTTTTCTTTCTTCTGATAAAAATTCATTGATAAAATGTGAAAGTTAGCAACACATTCAATTTCAAGTAGACATCCAATTTGCTTTGTATGAATACAAGAGAATACATGAATCCAAAGTCAATAGATGTGAGAACATTATAATTTGTCAAGGTGAACATTACAGAGATATTTTCAGACCGTTGAAATATCTTGAAAAGTTTATTGACTTGTTCCAGTCAGGGTTTTGATGCACTTTTGACAGCTCTGCTCTGTATTTTGTATGGCCTCCATCATGTAAGGACTAAACTGAGTGGCAAGATCAACCTCTAAAATGTGACAGCGCACTGTAATTAAAAAAAATCTCAGATTTGTTCACTGTTTTAGCATCAGTACTTACTAGTATTTTTGATAATTTTTGCATTTTCATATAAAGATTTTTGGAATTCAAGCAAATACTGCAAAAGTGGAATACATGTTGATGTTTTTGATTTCACTATGTTCATGATCTGCGAAAATTAAGCCAGTTGAAAATATTGTTGACATATCAATGAAGCGTTTAATTACCTACACATACTTTAAAATCCTTTTTAGTACCCTACCAGTGAAACAGGGGGAGACTATAGGTTTCCTCCACATGTGTCTGTCTGTCTGTCCCACTTGGTTTTCAGCTCTACTGGTCAGAGACCAGAAGAGCTTATACCATAGTAAGGTGTCCATTGTCCGTATGTCTAGCTGTCTGTCTGTCCGTCTGATGTCCGTCCGTCTGTAAACAATTTTTCAAAATGCTACTCCTCCTACGGTTTTGATCTGATTTCATTATAACTTGGCACATAAGTAGACTATACTAAGATACATCATTCTGACATGTATATCCATTTTTTATTTCAATTTCAACGGTGTTGCCATGGTTACTAAAAATAGAAATTTCTGTGAAAAACTTTTAAAACGCTACTCCTCCTACAGTACAGTTTTGATCTGATTTCATTATAACTTGGCACACAAGCAGACTATACTAAGATACATCATTCTGTATATTGGTTTTTGATTTCGATGAATGGTGTTGCCATGGTTACTAAAAATAGAAATTTCTGTGAAATACATTCAAAACGCTACTCCTCCTACACGTTTTGTCTGATTTCAGTATAACTTGGCATACAAGTAAACTACACTGAGATACATAATTGTCGTTATTGCTTTTTGATTTTGTTGAATGATGTTGCCATGGTTACTTAAATTGAAATGTCTGTAAAATTATTTTAAAAGGCTACTCCTCCTACAGTTTTATTCTGATTGCAATAAATCTTGCCACAAAAACAGACTAAACCAAGGATCATTATTCTATTTATTGCTGTTGCAAAGTTTCAAGTCCAAGTGCTACTTTTATCTTCCTTTATAAGTACAACCAGTAGCCTACAGTCTCATCAGAGACTTCTCATCTGCATTTTTTTTTAAAGGCTTGCAGATATTGAGCTGATTTTTGGTATGTGAGTGTACCTTGATAAGTTACAGATCAAGTTTGAATTTTGTTCAACTTCAGTGATTTTGACGGAGTTATGGCCTTTTTAATTTTTTAGGGTTTTGCACAATTTTTTTCTAAATGCTTGCAGATATTGAGCTGCATTTTAGTATGTGACTTTATATTGATGAGTTATAGATCAAGTTTGCATTTCATTCTGCTTCTGAATCAGTGTTTTTGACAGTATTATAGCATTTTCAATTTTTAATGGGAACCATCTCAGAATGCTTGTTCTATTTCATTACAGTAACAAATAATTCAAAATTGTTTGGAAGTCTGAGTTTAATCAATTAGAGGGTTAGATACTGGATGCATTTAATTTAAATGATTTACCATTAGATAACTTTCTTTGTTTTTAAAGAATGATTTACTGTAGAAACAAATTTTCGTGGGTATAAAATTTCGTTTATTTGTCATCTGAAAAGGTTTTGTGGGCATAAATTTTTGTTGTTTCATAAGTAACCCTACTGATTCATTATATAGTCATCTAAAAATTGAGTTATGGGATTTATTTTCGTTGATAATTGTTAACAATGAAATAAATGAAATTTAATCCCCCATGAATATTTCTGCTTTTACAGTATGAAATTGTAAATATATATGGTAAAGAGAAATTCACTGACCATAAAATTAAAACCACTGTGAAATGTACCAACATAGACAAGAGGACCAAGGGCCTTTATGGTCACCTGAGTACAATACAACAATTTAGAGGATCCATAAACTGATCAATGAAGCTTTGTTACCCAAAAGCAAGAAATATAGTATGATTAGCATCAACAAAATAATTGGTCTAGTATCTATCTGTCCCCCATTTATCACTATTACCATGCAGACTATTTAACAAAATGTCTATTTTTTAACCCCATATTATTACTTCTCACATTGGCATCTCTTGGCCTTTGAAGAACATTTAAAATGATAAGTATTTTTGTCTGAATTTTATTCATTTATTATTTCCAAGTCTACCTGATCATTAAAACTGTGAAAGTACTTTTTGTATTTTACAATAAATATTCTTGCATAATTCTCGTATTCTATTAACCTTTCAAATACATTGTTTACAGTGATTAATTATCAAAGGTAAATGGCAAAGGGGAATAACTTTGCTCAGCGGAATACAAGTTAATAGAGCACTGGGCAGGACCAGAACACTTGACTAAATGGTCCAGCCTGTGTTCAAGATTCTGGTAAAAATACCTTTGCATATTAAAACTTCTACTCTGTTTGCCTCTACTCTGTTTGCCTCGAATATGCCCAGAAGCATAGAAGAATTTCAAAGAAATGTATTTTCACTATATTATTAAATAAATAAAGCCCCACCCTTACACCAGAACATCTGACCGAGGGGGCCATGAACTCACAATTCTGGAAGAAGCACCCTTGCTCATCATAACTATACACTTGTTTCTTTGCTTTATAACCAGTAGTAGAAAAAAATATTTTGAAAGAAATTATGCCTTTTCAATATATAATCAATGGAGTCCCCCCCCCCTCTTCACCTAACCCCTGACCCAGGGGCCATGAATTTCCCAATTTGGAAGAGGCATTCTTCCTTATCATAACCATGTACTTCCTTTGTTTGAATAATACCAAGGAGCAGAGAAGAAGATTTTGAAAGAATTTATGCAATTTCCCTATATAATCAATAGAGCCCCACCCTAACACCAGAACCCTTGACCCAGGGGCCATGAAATTCATAATTTTGGAAGAGGCAACCATGCTCATCATAACTCATCATCACTATGTACTTAGTTTATTTAATATCCAGGAGCATAGAAGAAGATTTTCAAAGCATTTTTACTATATAATCAATAGAGCCTCATCCTAACACCTGAACCCCTGACCAGGAGCCATAAAATTCACAATTCCTGAAAAGGCAGCCATGCTCATCATAACTATGTTCTTAGTCAGTTTATTTAATATCCAGGAGCAGAGAAGAAGATTTTCAAAGAATTAATGCATTTTCACTATATAGTCAATAGAGCCCCACCCTTACACCAGAACCCCTGACCCTGGGGCCATGAAATTCACAATTTTGAAAGAAACACTCTTGCTCATCATAACTATATACTTAGTTACTTTATTTAATAGCCAGTAGCAGAGAAGAAGATTTTCAAAGAATTAATGCATTTTCACTATATATTCAATAGAGCCCCGCCCTAACACCAGAACCCCCGACCCAGGGGCCATGAAATTCACAATTTTGGAAGAAGCACGCTTGCTCATCATAACTATGTTCTTAGTTAGTTTATTTAATATCCAGGAGCAGAGAAGAAGATTTTCAAA